TTAGCTTGAAATGGACGTCACTCCTAACGTCAAGTAGTGGAGAGAGAGAGAGAGAGAGAGAGAGAATTAAACAATTATTTGCAGTAAAGGATGACTTGTTCGGACTGAGTGCACAATTCTGAATAAAATACATAATTTATACCCAGAATCTCTCAAACTAATAAGAAAACTGTCCATGGAATTTAGTCAAACATTAGTCATTTTCTTATAGATTCTGGTTAATTTAAAGGCCCTCTAACTCTCACACCATTGTATAACGGCTCATATATGTTCATCCATCTTATTCTATCTTTCAATTGCTCCAATCGGACCATCTTCTTGAACTCCAATTCAAGGAAAAAAATTCGTGTGTGATCGTGACAGAATGCGGGTTAGTAAATGAAGTTCCCTCTTTATTTCTTCTTTTTGTTTTTGTTTTTCATATATTCGATTGGATTTTACTGTATCACTCTCTCTCTAACTTCAATTTCCTGTGACGAAGGAAAGAAGCCTAGTTTTCTTTCTTTTGGTTTTTATTTTCAGAACGAAAAGTTCTGTCACCATTGACATAGGGTTGTTTTTGTCTGCTAGATGGACAATAGTTTATGAATAAAGTCGGTCCAGTTATACCATTCGTGCACATACTTTGTTATTATATGGTTTTTTTTATTCAATCATTGCCAGAAAAATCACTAAGTAAAGTTCTTTGGAACATGGAATTTTCGATGTACCAGCAAGGACCCTTTTCTTGGACCACCAATAGGCCAGCTAAATCAACTTCTTTTCCCATCATCAGTCATTCATTTTTCTCTACATCTGCTTATTCTTCTCGAATATCTTTTTGTAGTATTGCTAAGGTGATCAAATTCGTTCGTGAAAAATAATGCGGCCGAACAAAATACGTACAAATTTTGAAACATATAGAATAATTAACAGACACAAACACGCGTATCATTTGATTCAAATCTTATAATTCAATGAGATTGATCCTTCAAACTAGTCTACTCCAATTAATTTATCACTCTCATCATCCCTATAGCAGTGTAATGATAGGGTACATTGAAGTAGTTTAAAATACTAATTCGTGTTATATAGTGATGGTCAAAAAGAGGGTCTTTGGAATCATTGTTGTGGTTTATGATCAATTTGAATAAGAATTCTTTTTCTTTACTGCTCTTTCCACTCTCTCCTGCACATATTTATCACAGCAAGGGAGAATGATAATCAACTAGCTCTCTAGCTAAACACAATGATACACAGAAAGAAGCACCCAATTTGGTTCGCAAGATTCGGTCTTGTTGTTTTTTCTTTTTGGGGTTTCCATTGGGCATTTCTGATTAATTAGTGATCTAATCATAATTATACAGGCTATCAATCTGAAACTTGGAAAACTAGGGTCTTTCTCACTGCTATAATATATAAAGAAAAGTTGCCATTAATTCTTCTAGCTAGGTAAGCTACTAGTACATTGAAGAAGATGCCAAGCTTGATGAGGGTTATGACTTGAGAAAGAAAAAAAATCATTAAAATGATATGCCTGCTCCCCTTTATGACCAAATTAAGCATCTATCGTTCTGTTTGCTAATTAATTAATTATTAATTAAATTATAATGATTCCATACTTATATTATATAGTACTGCTCCAGAAAATCTTCTCTGATTAGTGCTAAATCTTCAAGATTATTCATGCAATGCTACCAAGCTAGCCTGCAGCTTGACGCATGGCTGGTTTGCTTTACATGTGACATTATATATAATGCATTTTGTGCCTGGAAGATTCAAAGAAAAAAGGATTCATATTGCTTTGATTTGATCATGTTTTGGAATAAATACAAAAGTTGCATAATTTGAAGGGCATAGTGCTAAATATTAGCTTCATGATCACCAGAATATATTCCAAATGTATATTCAGTTCATCCTGTGTTTCCTTTACTAGCTTTCATCTATGTCATACAGTTATGTACTAACTAATCCCAAATTTGACTGCTATAGTCCTACTTCCACTAATGTTACCTAAACTTCACCACTTTCAATATGAATTCAAAATTCTCACCATATTGATAATATTATCTCATGAAAGAGAAGTTATGCTATCGAATTATCAATTTAAATCATCATTACGGTATTAAGCACGTGTATATTAATAATATTATCTTATCAAACAGTCTAAAATGTTATGTCATTTGATTATCATTCCAGATGCATTCACACGTTCAATTTCAAGTGAAAGTAAAAATTAACTAATTCACAATTTAACAACATAACATGTTAGACTGTTTAATAAAAGAACGCGCTTTACTCACACATATATTTTATGGATATGAATTGTACAAGTGTCATTACCCAATTAGAAGGGTGGGGATAATGAACTTCATTTTTATTCTCTTCCCCTTTCCTGGGGAGAGTTTTATATTATATAAATATTAGTTTGTTTGTGGTATGCTGGGGAAGGAAGGATCGTGCCATCCTCACTCTACCAACACTTAAGGTTTTTTGCTACTGCTTGTTTTAGTGGCCAATGATTTGACAGCACTAAAAAGGGTTGAAACACTAATACATTATTAATTACTAGCCTAGGAAATTCTTTGACTGCCTGTTTGATTGGAAGATAAAATTCCTGCACTAATTATCTATACCACTTGAAATATATATATATATATATGTGATATTCCTTATCTGAATGAGCTTTTCCTGTATTTTCCCAATTTGGTATATATGAAGGTGTTATAAAATTAGCAATAAAATAAAATAAATTTCCTCGCTTTTACTAATATATGCGAAATCGTAGTTCCGCACTAAAATTCATAATTCAATACTTGAAAAATAAAATATACATTAATTATAGAATAATAATTGATCTCATATCCATTCATTCTCTCCGTACGGTTTATAGTTTATATTAGAGAGAGCTAAATAAAGCCGTGAAAGGATATCATTTTGGTTAAAAGCATATTACCAATAATAGAGTTTATTAATTAGACTAGGTATTAAATTAATAATAATAATTAAGAAAAGTCCCATTTTACCATTACCTCAGTGCAACATCATGTCTCACTTTGACCATCTGAGGTGGGCTACTAATGCTGCATTTTTCCATAAACTTAATCGATTGTCCTACCGACAGAGAAGAAGAAAAAATAAAAAGTAGATTAGCATGGGGTTTAGGGTTAAGAGCATCATGTCTCTGATACATAGGCAATTTTTCTTATATTCTTTCGTGGATCAAGTGACAAGTTGTGAATTAAATTATATCAAAGTTAGAAAGAAAAAAAAAAAAGGAAACCTATTGATTGCAAACGTGCAATCAAATTCATAGTCATATAGGGCTTGCATAATGTTACTAAAAGCTACTTTGTTGAAAGAATTACTTTTTTTTTAACGGCTGGTTAAGGCATATTTTTGAAGTACATGAACGAGAAGTCCATTATCTTTTGAGTGAAGCGTGCCAAGTTTAATGTAGAATGTTAATTCAAAAGTGTGATCCCAACAATTGCTTAACCCCACACTTTAAATTATAAATCTCTATTTGTTACGGCGATTTATTATAATATCATTGATTTACACTTCGTTGAAGAAGATTATGAGTACACATTTCATTCACCATGATTGCTGAATAAAAAATATTCTCAATATGGTCAAAACACTTTCCTTGTCGCCGTCTTTCTTGGCCAAACAATGGGTGTGGATCGATTAGGCCATTCATGACTTTTCTTTTCTTTTTTATAAATAAGTTTAGATGATTGTGAAACAATAATTTTATCAACTAGTTTTTGTTTGGAGTTATTTTTACCACTCCCAAAAAACCATCGTGTATAATTTTCTTATAAAAACATAAGAGAAAACGTGCACTTCAAGCATCGTAAGATGAGTAATTTGAAGTGTCAATAACTGTTTTCTTTTTATTTAGAATGATTATTTTTTTATCTAAATTTAGAATGAGCATGAATGGCTATTTTCAATAGTACTTATGAGTGTACCTAATGTCATATTCCAAAGATGATCTCAAAATTTTGCTTTTATTGCTGCCAATGGCTTGTAAAGTAAGAGCAATTTGTTGGATAAGCAAGTAAAATTGAATTGGAATATAAAAATAATAAAATAATTATAAAAAATTAAAAACAGTTTTCACCACTAAAGTTATTTAGGCCTCTTTGCCCTCAACAGTTTTAAACAATTTTCTTGTGAGGATAAAGGCCAAAAGCATATATGCCATGTGATATATATATGAAACAGTGAATTGCTGGCCCGTTTGTAGGAAACTTTTGCTCATTTGGCTTATAAAGATTCATAAAAAATTTCTCCACCAACATTGTAGAGATGTTATTTGCCCACTTGGAAAGTGACAACCATATTGAGCAAGCAGAAAGGTAAACAAATTAATTAATTAATTAAGGGATAGAAAAAGAAAAACAGAAGTCTTCTTATGCTTTTCGCCCCTTTCTGTGTTGAACGAACATTGCATTTTCATTTTTCTTTTTGGAATGCTAAAAACATTCATAATCTGATCTTAATTACTGTTAAAACTAAAAAAGTTATAAGAATATCACTGCTAAAATATTTGCAGAGTAATTATAGGGTCTGTTTGGGAGTGCTTCTGAAATGGCTAAAAAACATTTTTTGACAATCAAAAGAACGTATGTCATCATTTGGCATAAAAGTTTAGAAGTACTTATGGGTCATATAAGCGCTTCATGGAGAAGTACTTGGCAAGTGCTTTTTCAAGAAGCACTTTAATCTCTACGAAAATTTCATCATCTTTAAAATAAAAATGCTTTTGCTAGAAGCGTTTATGAGTAAAATTGCTTCCTAAAAAAGTAATCTCAAGCAATATATTGCATGCAGTGCTTTGGAAACAAATCATATATAAAAACATTTCTTATTTATTATAGATGACGACATATACAGAGGGAAGTTAGATATTAATAATTAGAAAGACAACCGAAAAAAAAAAAGTAAAAAAAAAACCTATTAGTAACTGACTTCTACCACCGACAACTACCCAACTACAACACTAAGCCCAGCAAAGGTGTCTTCTTTTATTAAACAAAAAGGAGAAGAAAAAAAAAAAAAAAACCTTCGATTCTTCTTTGCTTTACCCAGAAAGGCTTTTTAGTCATGTTGTGGTCCAAACCTAAATATTCTAAGAAAGCTCCTCCTGAAAGAAAAAGAAGCCTTTGTTGTTTTGCTCACCTATCAAAGCTCAAAAGCCATAGTACTGAAACTGAGTTGCTCCAAAATTGTTCATAAACTCTCCTCCTCCTCCTCCTCCTCTCACTGTTCCATTCTCTTCTTCTTCCACATTGAACCCTTCTACCTACAAACAAAATAACCACGTCAAACTTCACGTCGTTGTAATGTTCTATTGTCAAATTTACGACGAACATATAAGACTGTGAATCTAAACCACACTTTAAGATAAAAATAACATGGTCAATTATCTAAGAACATTTCTCTTTATGTACATGCAACCACATATACTATTCCATTCAGCGAATGTTAAAAATAACAAAAATTGAAATGTGGAAAAACATAATTACCCAGAGTTCATCTTCGTCTTCTTCTCTGTTACTTGAACATGCAGCCTTGAGAACCTCACCAGTTTCGTCGTTGCGTGCAAATCTGCCACGTATGCGGGGTCGGTTATCCGCTAGTGTTTTTCGACATGCATACTTTTTTTGGGTACACAGAAGAAACAAACCAGGCACATTCAGATTCAGTTCAGAGACAAGAATCTAATTAACACGTATAAATTAAGGTTGTTTCTAGATTATGAGGATGGGTTTGTGTAATTATGTTTGGTCAGAGAGAATTAACTAATTATTATTATTATTTTTTTATATATAAAAAGTTTATGATTTACCTTAATGGTCTTGTTGAAGTTTCTCTGCGACCTCTTGGCTCTGTACTTTGAAATTCTCTCTTTCCTCTCTTCTGCGCTGTACCTCCCCATTTTGAAGTTTGCAGCAGCTTCCTCCATCACCGAGCTCTCTCTCGGATTGCGGGCTGTTCTAAAATTCTACAAAGAATTTTATAAAAAAGAAGAAAAAAAAGAAGAAGAGAAGGGTTTAATTACACAGAGCAAATTAAAACAGGGGATTAATTAAATTTAAATGTGAGTTTTTAAGAGTAAACTGACTTGCAAATCTCCTGTGCTGGAAACTCTTCTCATTTGGCCAGCTAAAAAGCTGTTTTCAGGAGAGCTCAAGGCTTGGTTTTGTAAAGTTGAAGATTCCATGAGAGAATCAAAGCAAGGTTGGAAGACAACACCAGGCTTGCCATCGAAGGAGTTGCTGCTAAAACTCCTCTGCATAAACTTTGCCACATTCTCTGCACCACTGTAGCTATGAGGACCAAAAACTTGGTTATTATTATAAGCGTTTTGGTCAAAAGCTAAATGGCATTGCTCAGTTTTGACTTCCAGAGCATCGAAAGCAGGGAAATTTGGCAACCCATTTGCCAAATTTGCGCAGTTTTGATCCAGAGGGTTCAGATGGGTTGCTTGGCAAAGGCTCAAGCTTTCCAATTGGTAACTTGGGGGAGAAGAAGAGAGGATTGTTGGAGAGCTTTGGTCGAGTGAATTATTATGATGAGACTGGTTTTCAACTGGGTTTTGGTTGCTTTGGTGATCTGAGATTGCTTGGAGGATGTCAATGTCTGAGAAGGGAGAGAATGGCTCGGAGAAGAACTGGTCTGGTTCATAAGACGCCATTTCTGAGCTTGAAGAATGACGGAAGAAGGAGTCATCAAGAACGTAGAGATCAGAGGAAGACATTGGAGCGCAATTCTATGGTTGGATTGAACTCCCAGAAAAAAAATGAAACTGATGGAAGAAAGTTTGGAAGTTATAGACCGAGTGGAAGTCCGGGGAAGTTACAAGAAGAAAGTGTTTGCTTTGATTTTTGTGTGTTTTGGTTTTGAAACGGCCAAGCTCTACTGACGAATTGAGCTTGTAGATTTTTGAATAGGCTTTTTGGGGGTTACTGAGGAGCAACAAGACAAGGAAAATCCATTTCTCCTCTCTCTCTCTCTCTCTCTCTCTCTCTCTCTCAAAAAGAGATTTTCAAACAGCACAGGAAGAGACCAGTCCACTTCTCTGCCATGCTATAAAAAGGACCAAACTTTGCACATTTGCCCTCCTTGTTTATCATATTTTGAGAAGTTCTCCAAGGCTTTTTTCATTTTATCAATTATCCCAACCCTTCCCTTTTTCTTTTGTTGGCATAATTTTATCTTTGCAAATAGTAGATTTCTTTATTTGTTATTAAAGAAGTCAAATTGATTAGGACATATTGAAACATAAATCAACTTTAAATGTACGGAAGATTGTTGTTGGTATTCGAGGTAACTAATTGACCTGGTTAAAAACAAATTAACCGTGAGATATCAACGGACAAAAGTGATATTGAACCATAAAAAAAAAAGGAGAAATATCGATATCAATAAGAAAAAGCGAACAACATTAGTAAAATCATTAGATAACGACTAACTTATTACTAACAGAATTGAGAAGCATGTTAGCTATACAACACAATTGCCGATGATTAGTTTTCTAGAAGAATGAGAGCATTCTCATGATTGCACGCGTTATTAAATATTGTCAAAAAAATGTATCGTGAGTGAAGTATATCTCGTTAATCATAGAATATTCGGTGTTCTCCTGCGATAACAACGACAAAATAGACGCTTATATAAAGGTAAAAGACAAATTGTTGTATGTTGTGTAATCTTCTCACTTCTTAACATTGTTAGCATATTTTAGATTTAACTTAAGAATATATCAAATGTTGAATCCATGGAACTTGACCGATTAGACATTTTATATAAAGGTAAAAGATAAGCTCCTACATTTGTGAAACTTTCTAACTTCTAAATACTGTCATAATATCATAAGATTTTAACTTAAGCATACAAAGTTCTTTAATGATAAACACTCTCAACTCATTTACAAACTTACTAAAACTTGGATTGTCTTCAAATGAGAGTACTCTTGCAATTACTCTCTCATTTTATCGGCTAATTATGGTTAAAGATAGAGAGTGATTAATTAAAATGTGACCAATGGGGTGTTAGTTGGATTGACTTTTTAGTGTGCTTTCAAGTAATTCTGAGTTCAAGTCCTCATGATACCTGTTTGTGTAAGTTCTCCTTCCCCTTTCTAACTTTGGCAAAAACAAAAATGTGAACTATAATTAGGGATGACAACGAGACGGGATGGACACGGATTATCTATTCTCACAAAATAAACCGGATCCCATCAAGTAATATGACCACACATGGTTGATGAAGGGACACAAAGCAAAGCCCAACTCTCAAATAGGGGCCCATGCACTAATAGACAAATGCTCAAATTAAAAGCAACTTCTAGGCCCTGTTTGGCATGCTTCACTAAACCTCACTGGATTGGATATGGTTAAATAGTCCTAAAAACCTATGTTTGGTAAGAAATGGGATTAAGTTAAATGAGATTATATAGTCCAATGGGTAAAAAAACATTGGACTCATAGCCCAAAACTTGGTTCGCTAAATAGCGATGGTGCCATTTTGAACATGCGAGTCCGACTGGATACCACCACCACCGTCAAACACACAAGCTTGACCACCAGCACCATACGTCCACCACTGTCAGACCACCACCATCAAACCCATAACCAGCTGCCAGAGACCCAATCGAACCATCATTACCACCCAATCAGTCAAACAAAGCATCATCACCACCCATAAACAGCCACCACATACTCAGTTCAACAACCATCATCACCTAATTAAAACCACCACAACCAACAGCCACCACATACCCAGAAGTGGATCTGGCTCTCTTAAAAGTTGGGGTGCAGCATGAAGAGAGAGTGAAAAGGAATGAAGGAAGAAGAAAAGAGAGGAAAGGAACGGCCTGGAAAGGAAGAAATAAAAAAAAAAGGGAGGCTTTGGAAGGAATAAGAAAGGAGGAAGAAAGAAACGGGCCAGAGATAAGGAAGAAGAAAAAAGTCAATGGAGAGAAAAGGAAGAAAGAAAAGAAGAAAAAGAAAAAAAAAAGATAAGATAGTTTGAAGTGCGTGGTTCAATTTTTGTTTGACCAGAGATAAGATAATAAACCACCACATACTCACTTATTTGTTTTCTTTTTATTTATTTTTAGGTAAAAAAAGCCTTAATTAAAATTAAATATTAAATATTTTTTATTTTTTTATTTATTAAAATTAAATATTAAAATAATTATTTTTAGTCCGACACAACACCAAACATAGGTCTTCACTATTTTTACAATCCAGCTTCTTAGTCCGACCTAGCACCAAACATAGAGAGTCATTAATTAAAATGTGACCAATAGGGTGTTACTTTTTAGTGTGCTTTCAAGTAATTCTGAGTTCAAGTCCTCATGATACCTGTTTGTGTAAGTTCTTCTTTCCCTTTCTAACTTTGGCAAAAACAAAAATGTAAACTATAATTAGGGATGACAACGAGACGGGATGGACACGGATTATATATTCTCACAAAATAAACTGGATCCCATCAAGTAATATGACCACACATGGTTGATGAAGGGACGCAAAGCAAAACCCAACTCTCAAATAGGGGCCCATGCACCAATAGACCAATGCTTAAATTAAAAGCAACTTCTAGAGTAATTCCTCCACCCACAAAACTAATCAGCACTCCCCAAATTGACACAAAATATTCCGATGAAGATTTAGGACACGCGTGGATATTCCAGCCCCGTCCCGTAAGAAAAGGCGTTGACAACCTGGCATTAGACCAATCAAAATAAGTTAATTTAACTTAATTTATTTTAATTCCGTGTTCATTGGCTTCATCGGAAATGGTTATCCGCGTAATACTTAATTACGTGGAAATTCCCGTTTTTTAAAATTATTCGTATATCTTCTTTTTCTATTGGACGCAGAGTATTTTCTTTGGCTTATTACTTTTCTTTTCTCCCTTGTACTCATTGATTTAATAAATAAATAATAAAAGTCTGCCAAAGACTTTGATTTTTCATTTCTTCCGTTGGCTCTTTCTTCTTCAGATCACCACTTCTTCTTCTCCTTATTATAATTAGCAGGGCCGGCGGCCTCGCGGAAGTCGCTGCTCTTGTTCTTCTTCTTCTTCTTCCTCTCCTTCAATTTCTCTGTGAGTTGCGTACGGAACAGTAACAGCAGCAGCCATGCCGTCGCAGGAGTACATGGACAAGATGCAGGGGCGCCAGAACTATCGAAATCTCTGGCACTCTGACCTCATGAGCACCATTCAGGCTGACACTCGCTGTACTCTCTCTCTCTCTCTCTCTCTCTCTCTATACATTTAATTCGTTCAGTATCTGATCTGCTGTGAATGTTTGTTGCAGATTGCTGCTTTGCGGCTTTTTGGTGAGTGCTTATCGATCTGCTTTGCTTGCTTCTTAACCATTGCTAGATCTGATTTCGTTGTCAATTTCACTGTTTCACTTCCTATTCTGTTTTTCGTCATTCTCGTTGCCTTCGTTGACTTGGTTTCGCACACTTTGACTTCAAGTTTTTTTTTTAAAATTATTCTTCAATTAAAGTTGGAAATTGAGTAATTCGTTCTGAATGACAAATGCTTGTTCCTCTGCACAATGTATCACTGCATGCTTTGAATTGCTTTGTGTTCTGAGTTTTACTGGATTTTCCTTGTAATTTGAAAGCTATGCATCTTGTATTATTTCCTTAGGTCTTTTTATAGATAAAATTCATTTTATCAAAATGGAAAAATAATAGAACAGAACAGAACCATCAGTGTATTCTATGGTGGCAGGATAGATGAAATTTGCCCAGCCACATCCTAAATTTTCACTACCATGGGACTAGTATAATATATGGTGTGGTTTGAATTCTTCTGCAAGGAGAACTAATTTGTATAGATCAGCATTGGATGGAAACTAAAGAACACAGAGTAGAACAAGTAGCAACCTCAATGCAGTAATTTTCCGTCATATGAAGAAGAGATACTATTTAATACTTTTGGTATATGGTTAATGCTATATAGACTTTAAATTAATTTTGATGTGTGTTGCCATGCCTTTATAGTTATGCATTGTCTTGTGATCACCTTTTTTCTTGAGAGCCAACTCCTAGACTTCTCCAATTTTCCATTTGGGGTTTTAACTTGGAATCGGGTCTTTGATTTCTCACCATATATGAAAAAAACTATTCAATCATGCACTGAAATTTTGCCGCCCAGTATGGTGCTTCTAATTTATTTTTGTTTCCCTGTAGTGCGCCATGTGCATCATACTTGCTCCGCAAACGGGCTCTGCATAATAACATGTCAAGGTAATTTATATTTTGAATTTCCTCGAATCTAAATCTAAAATTAGCTTATGTCACCCTTTCTTTGATAATTGTGCTTTTGCTCTCCATAGATATGTATGCTGTGCTGGTTACATGCCCTGTAGCGGTAGGTGCGGGGAAAGTAAATGCCCTGAATTTTGTCTGGCGACTGAGGTATAAGATTTAATTTTATGACACTTTTTTGTTTAGTTTGCGCCTTAGTCAAATCCTAGGTGTAATATATATGTCTTACATATCATAAATTTTTTCCTTCTTACTAGTATGTTTTACGATGTTCTTAGGAGTTGCTTAGGTTCTTGCCTTTGATATAGAGAAGACACATTGATGGCTATTCATCTAACAATTATGGATGAGTTAAGTATTTCGCCCTAAGTCCTGTGCATATGGACATGATTAGATTTTCATTTGGATGCATTACATCCAGAGAAAAATACAGAACGTTCAGCTCTGTTGGATAACACTAGGTGGGGTTTTCCTATGATTAAGGCGGGATTTCAGATGGTAGAAATATTAGTAATTAGAACATTTATAGGGAAAACAGAAGAAGTATGGAAGAATATATCAAAG